TGCCGCACGGCTTCCACCTCCAGCGCAAGGGCCAAGGCGTCCTTAAGCGTCTCGTGGTGCCCGAGCCTCACAGCAGCTCTGAATTCAAGGTCGCGGATGCCGTCGATGAATGTCTGCACCAGGTTCCCTTCAAAGAGTGCAGGTACAGACCGGTATGCTTTTCGCACCAGCTTCTCCACCTCTAGAGCCCACTGCTGTAGGTTTTCGTTGAGGCGCCGCACGCGATCTTTAAGCTGCGCACGAAAGACGTGTTCCAGGTGAGCGTCGCCATATCTCGCCTCCAATGCCTCAAGGAGTTGCTCATAAGTCACTTCCTCACCGAGAGCTTCCAGAACTGTTAAGGCCTGGTCGCGCAGGCCTAGTGTGAGAGCAGTCATGGCCTGACTTTTATTCCAGCCGTTCGCCTTCATAACAGCCTCGAACTGGATTTTGTAGGTCGACCAGGAAGAAGTCCCGTCGAACAGCGGCACTTTGAATCCACGTAGCGAGGGTGTTGTAGCTACTACGGGAGCTGTAATTGCATCCCCCAGTTTGAGGTCGTCCAGCGATTTCTTCACGTCAGCCATCATGTTGTCAACCCGATGGTTCACTTCGTCGATTCTGGTTTCAGCTTTCTCGATTCGGGTTCCAGCTTTCGTGATTTGGGTTTCAGCTTCCGACAGGCGGTTGTCATGCTGAGCAACCCTATCCTTCGTCTCATTTATCTCCTTTCCGAAGGTAGCGTGAAGGTCCTTCATGAGGAGCATCTGCTCTTCCAACCGACGGGCCTATTCCTCTTATCCGCCCCGCAGCTGCTCTTCCAAACGACGGGCTTGTTCTTCCTGTCGGCGAGCCTGCTCCTGCAGCATCACCATCAGAGCACCTAAGTCAGGTGCTGCAGATTTAGGAGCTACTGACGGGCCTGTAGCCGGTGGCTGGCCCGCCGACGTCTGCGGCGTTGCACCACCAAATCTTCTTTGGTCCGTCTCCAGCTGACGTTGACTTCGGGTACGGACACCCTCCGTTTCCTCCTTAGGTAAAATCGGCATGATTTTATCCGATTTCTGACACCAATTGTAACGAGCTTAGGTTCGTGACAATAAAAATTGCCGATAGAATTACCAAAATTAACTCTTTAATTCACTTTACACTAATTAAAACTTAGAAGACACTAATAATTAATCACACTGATTCACTTTATTTCGCTCCGCCAAATTCAATACTGCTCCGATCGCGGCATGCAGCGGGTTTAAATACATGTTTACTCCGAAACATCCAGAATATTCCCGTAGATACTGGCGCAGAAAGTTCGAGTGTGAGGCTTCTAGAAAGCTTAGTTCTTCAATTCGATACTGGATGGCGCTGTTGGTTAAAAGATTAGTCATATCATTTTCTGGAAAGCTCTCCTCGCTCTGTTACGACACTAGATGGCGCTAGTGCCAGACGTCAACTTAAGCGTGTAACAATACCATATTTTCCCGTGGGCGTTGTAAAAGGTGACAGAAGGAAATTAAACAGGCGATAGTAGCATCTTCCTGCTAACCGTTCAAATAATAAAAAACTGCGTTTGCCAAGCATAGCAAATACGACAATCTATGGTGGAGGCCTGTTTTCAGCAGCAGTACTTTATAGACTGATACATGAATGAATACTGCCCTGTCCCGCACAATTTGGAATGATTGACGAACACTCATTATTAGTTTCAAACATGTTTTATTATTTGAAAAGTCTTCTTTCATAGTTCTACGAAAGTCCTTTGGTATTTGGCGGCAACAAGGGAAGAAAATGAAATTTGTTATATAAAAACACCTTATCCTTTCCTCCCGAAACCTTTCATCTCTATTCCCAAGACACGTTTTGATTAATTTTATAACTACTATCATACTCGTAATAATAATCTATTCTAGTTCTAGTATTTCACTAAAAGTTGATTCATTTTACCAGATTATTACATAAATATTGACCATATTTTTAGATACACCTTGCTAAGAATTCTCTGTTCAACACTTCCGTTCTCATATACGCTCATAACTTCTATGTATTCTACAGCAACGCTCGTGGTAATCTAAGCTCGTGGTTTTATGTCACGATTAATGTCCCATGCCTACATCAAAAAAGGAAAAAACGAACCACTTATAAGACATTTTGTTGTCCATTAGTTCGTACGTCATCTGTCGAGACATTTTTCTGCGATACGGGTTGAGCTATAAGTTGAAATCAAATATTTATAAATCTACGATGTCTTTGAGATGTAAATAATTCAAGCTTCTTAATGAACGTAATCAAAAGATACATCACAGTCATTTATTTCACATATTTTGCAACTCGCCAGCTCACTCATCAAAACCTATAACCTACCTAACGTACTTCCCTCTGACCTAGAATCATTAAATTTGTCAAAATTATGTAACAAAAAAAATGCGGTAACAAACTTAAAATTGCCAACGACCGTGATGTAGGCTCCGTGATCGTGATATATGGGAGAAAATTCTTTCCAATGCAAAGTTGAGTTTGCCGTTCAATGCGACTTCCTTTTCGAGAGAGCATTGAGCGGGGTGGATAAACTATCTACATACATAATTATGTATGATTATAACATATATATATATATATATATATATATATATATATATATATATATATATATATATATATATATATATATATGATAATTGGGCACGGCACCCTCGGACGAGAGTTCTACTCGCACCTGTCCGGTTTTTTAAACAGGCTTTTTCTTATTGTATTTAAAAATGTTATTTTTCCAAGGAATTATTGTATCGCACCTATAGCCACAGAATAAGAGACGTAACATGAATTTTAAAAACCACAATCTTTTTTAGACTGAATGTAAGTGACCACTTGCAATACAAATTAAAAATTTTGATCAACTGACTTAAACCAAAACCAATGTAGTTGAAGTCAATTAAATGCGTATTATTAAGGATGACTTAAAGAGTACTGGTAAGATCCGACAGATCAAATTTATATGGGACCACATGAGATATACCAGCTTTCAATTAAAAAAGAATAATCAAAATCAGTTCACTTAGAAAAAAGTTCTGAGGTAACACGCTTTAAAAAATACAGTCGAATTGAGTACCTCCTCCTTATTTCAAGTCGGTTAAAAAGGAACATAAAAACCCTCGGCTAACAAATCATCTTACAATATTATGTTTCGGTCAGGTTCCGTAATCGTTATTTAACTGAACGCGTGCATTACTCCATCGATACATTTTGGAGAATATGCGCAGAAATTGCATGACTTAATTCCTTTCTCTCCGTTACATCATCGATCCACCAGATGCTCGGTTGTTCTTCACCCCTTCGTTGCCGACATACCTCGCAATCGAACCAATCGGTTTGCATCGTCGTCCATAATGCGTACAGCAAAGAAAAGGAGTAAATTGTCAGCATCTGTCTTTCCTCTAATTCTAATGTGGATGTCAAGGTGAATAGACTTTTGTTAAGCTAAGTCATTGCGTTTACCTTCGGCTGCATCAGTACTTACCATAAGGTGGCATAGTGTCAAGCACTGGATTATAATAGTAAAAAAATATAGGTATGCCTGGGTCACAGCATTAGATTACCAGCAGGTGGATTGTGTAGTCAATTGTCACCCTAGTAAAAATACGCTAACCGTGGATAGGCGGGTTGTTGATCACGGGACCTGATACTAATAAAAAATAATAAATATCGATACAATAAATAAAAAGACTGGGGTTACGAGGGCGACATTGAAATTTTTTAGAACTGGCCACTTGTAAACGATATACTTAATAAAAAATTAAGTTCAAATTTTGAAAACGGAACTCTTTGCCAATATTATTATCTATGGGTGCGTTTGGCAGAAAAAAGCGCTAGCAAGCGCTTGTAAGCAAAATGGCGATCGTAAGCGGTAAGCGCTGTCAAATCGTAAGTAGCTATTTTCCTCCAGGACACGATGTTAGTTTTAACCGGGGAACCTAACCTAATTTAAATATATGTTTGTAAAGTATACATATTAAAAACTTACCAATCATGAATTTTAATAACATGTATATGTCTATTCATGTCATTATATTACTTAAAACTAATATTGCACAAAATAACTTATAAACTCTACTTCAAAACAAACAAATTAAATAAGCAAAATGGCGGATTGTGTCAGCGCTACTGAAGTAGCAATCGTGTCCTGGCCGAAAACTATTTCAGCGCTTGTAAGCGCTTGCTAGCGCTTTTTTCTGCCAAACGCACCCTATGTATGTATTTTATTAATTTGTCAAATGTTTACGATTTGGCGGCAAATTGAAAATTGTCTCTGTCACGTCAGCATGAATTTAACGCGAGAAAATTTTTGTACAATGATTTTTTATGACTTTCGATGTCATTTAAGTCAACAAGAAAGTATTTCTTTCACGATGAAGCTCAATCTCATGCCACTACTTACAACGGTCTAATGAGTTTAAACGTGGTTGCACTAATCTCACCGATGATCTGCGTGATGGATAGCCTTCTACGGCGACTACTGAAGATAACATCAGTGTTGTGCCGCGTAGAAGAGACCGATAAAGGTGTTTCGGACAAGCTTAGGCATCGGTATGAGTTAAGTGCACAAAATCTTCCATGAACATTTAGCCTACAGGAAGCTTTGTCCCGGTGGATACCTTATAATTTGACAGAGGCCCAAAAACTCCGTCGTGTTGATTGGTGTCGTGAAATGGTTCAAAGATGTAATGGAGGTTACTCAAATGCTGTGTTCAACTTACTTACGGGTGACGAAAGCTGGATTTATTGTTATGATCCTGAAACTAAGAGACAGTCTGCCGCCTGGGTGTTTCCTTCCGAGGAGTTGCCGACTAAAGTGAAAAGAGGTTGAAGCGTGAGAAAAAAGATTGGCTGTGTGCTCTTTTTCAAAATTTTTTCTTAAAAAAATACTTCCTGCGGTGGGGGAAGCCCGTTTCTACCAGTGAACTAAGGTTTGCGCGAAACATGACCGAAATATTTTATATAATAAATATTTTTTCTGTGTTATAGATTGTATGATGTCACTGAAGTTACTAGATCTAAGAGTACCGGCTTATGTGCTTCTTGGCTCTCAGCCTGCATTAACTTGCCAATGGGAGCTAGGTCCTAACGATATGCTTTATTCCATTAAATGGTATAAAGATGGCAAGGAGTTCTTTCGGCACGTGCCACGAGACCTGGAGCCTCATAGAAAATTTCCTCTACCGGGAGTTGAAGTGGAGGTAATTTCGGTAATTTTTATTTTATTTCCTTTGTGTTGTGTCTGAAATGGTGATTGGTGTGATGGTATTTATATAGATATTACAATGGTATTTATGAAGGAGCGGTTTTCTTTTTCATTAAAAGGCTGTAAGTTAACGTACGTCAGTTACATTGTATATTGTAGAATCTAAAGTAAGTGGTGGATTTATCAAAATTTATGAGCTAACACTTCTCGGGGTTCGACGAGCACACAGTCCACCTGAGGGTAAGTGGTTGCTGTGCCCCACAGACATCTACATTTATCCTCGATTACGAATCAAAATGCAGATGCGTTGTCATCCGTGAGGACTAAGATGGAATGCCTCGTTTCCAGTAAAAAGGGGTCTCCGGTTCTCTACACTCACCATACGAAATATAGCAGCTGTACTATTTGACGCTGGTATTCTGTGAGAGCGTGGTCTTTCCCCGGTCGAGCCGACCCATTCGTGCTACAACTATATTACTAATATACTGCAACATGGCTCTACCACGTAAACGTGTAAACGTGTTATAATTGTTTCCAAATCACTGACATTGCATCCTAGCCTATCCGCTACGTTGGACACGGACGTGTTATGTGAGTAGTGACTGGTGAGGTAGTGAGTGCCTTTTTAACGCGCTATATAAATATTATAATGCTATAATAAATGGTATACGTGTTAGTTAACTACGGTAGTTCTTAATTGGTGTAGGATAGTGCTAGTATAGAACACTAGCGTGAAATAGCAGTATATTGCTGCTGTGTTTCGTAGGGTTAGTAACGAGTACTGGAGACTATTTTCACTGATAACGAGTCATTTCATCTCAGCCCACAGGTCTAACAAACGCATTTGGGCTTTTTTTCGCTATTTTTAATCGAGGATCGCATGATCGCGGAGAAGTTTGTGGCCAAAAACCAAAAGGTTTTTTGTGCGTTCATGGACTTGGAAAAGGCCTATGACAGAGTGGATAGGGATTTGGCAAACACTGAACTCATTTGGGTTGAGCGCTGGCTTGATACAGGCATTGGAATCTCTTTATAGGGACTCTAGTGCTTGTGTTAAGATCAACGGGATCTACTCGGACTGGTTTGACATCCATAAAGGTGTCAGACAGGACTGTGTGGCTTCCCCGTGGCTGTTCAACCTATTTATGGACAGTTGTTTGCAAAATTTGAAAGTTGAAGAATGCGGATTAAGAATGGGTGAGTTAACCGTCAAATGCCTTTTGTACGCCGATGATCAAGTTATTCTTGCGTCGTCGGCGGCCGAGTTGCAAATGATGGTTACATTAATGAACGGATCATTAAAAGAAAGGGGTATGAAAGTGAACGCAAGTAAGACGAAGGTTATGGTTTTTGAAAGAGAAAAAAGTAAAACGATTTGTGAAATAAGAACAGAAGGGGAGTTGATCGAGCAAGTAGATGAGTTTGTATATTTGGGCTGCGTATTTAGCAGGGATGGGAGATATGATAAGGATATAGAACGACGAGTGAATGCGGGAAATAGAGTAAATGTGGCCTTGCACTCTATTGTGAAGAGTCAAAATGTGTCGAAAAAGGCACGTATGGCAATTCACAATGCTGTGTTGGTCCCTACTTTAACGTATGGTAGTGAAAGTTGGGTGTGGCAGAAGAAGCACGAGAGTAGAATAAACGCAGTAGAAATGCGGTCGTTAAGGAGTATGTTAGGGCTGAATCTGAATGACAGGGTAAGAAATTGTGTAATAAGAGAAGAGTATGGTTTGCAAGATGATGTTGTGACCAGGATTAAGAAAGGAATGCTTCGGTGGTTTGGTCATGTGGAAAGAATGAATGAGGAAAGAGTGGCAAAGAAAATTTATGGTGCAGAAGTGAATGGCAGAGTCGGAAAGGGACGTCCTAGGCGAAAATGTATTTACCAAATTGGCGATTTATTGAAAACGGGCCAAATTAGGAGTACCCTTAACCGACGAGCATGTATGCGTAGGTGTATGGATGTGAAGGAGGCAAGAGAGGTGTGTCAGGATCGTGCCAAATGGAAGTCTGTAGTCTTTGCCTACCCCTCTGGGTGACAGGCGTGAGTGTTTATTATGTTTTAATCGAGGCTAGGCACATCCACTTACTACTAAGTATGCTGTGTGCTCTTTCGTTGCCCTTGCATTAAAAATAAAATATATATTTTATTGTATAAATATATACTCATTCTGCGTAGTATGTAACTAAACCGTTATACTATAGTTAATACGAGTAAATCAGAATTAAAAATAATTTACTTGTTTTGTCAGAAGTCAGATGCGTTGGGATCTAACATTACATTGTCAGCCGCGACACTAGAGACGGGCGGTCGTTACCGATGCGAAATATCGGGTGAGCGCCCGCTGTTCCCCACTGTGTCCGATCATGGGGACATGCTCATTGTTGGTAAGTTTGTAACAGTATTAGTTGTTAGATTAACAATGCACCTATATTTTTTTATTTGGTATACGCTATTGGGTATTTTTTCCTTGTAATAAATTGTCCGGAAAACATGGTAATCTGTTTGGCGCAAGGTCCGGGGAGTACGGTGGTTGTCGCAGATATTACAATTGTAGCTCATCTAACTTAGTGATTGTTTGTTATGCAGTGTGTGGTCTTGCGTTGTCGTGAAGCAGCAGTGGCCTAGAGCGATTGACCAATCTCGGTTGTTTAGCAGCTAGTTCTTCCTGCATGGCTTGCAGTTGCTGATAATAGATATCTGCCGTAATCGGTTGGCCAGATTTAAGAAAGTTGTAGTGAACGACACCGGTGCTAGTCCACCAAACACTTTTTGAGTCAATTTTCGTTTAACGCAGGATTTGGCTGGGTCTCCAGGGTTCAGCCATTGCGACGAGTACTTACGATTATCCTACAGTATCCCCTTTTCATCACAAGTAATGATTCGATTTAAAATCCCTTCATTTTTGTGTCAGTTGAGCAAAGTAACATAGCAGTTGACGCGTGTTTGCAAGTTCGATTCACTCAATTCATGAGGGACCCATCGTTGAAGTTTTTTTTTACTTTCCCGATTTGCTTCAAGTGGATTAATACAGTTTTATCACTAACCTCGAAGATGCAGATATCTCTGAAGTGCTTTGTGATGGATCCGCTTCCACAATAGCCTTTAATTCTTCATTTTCCACTTTGGTCTCCGGCCGTCCACGGGGTTGGTTCTGAAGGTCGAAATTTCGAGAACGAAAACATTGAAATCTAAAACGTACCGTGCTTTCTTTTGCGACACCAGCGCCGTACACATCATTAACCTTCGAGCTGTACAGCACTGGTGCCGTTTTGTATTGTAACTAAAGTTATAGCCTATACACTCATACTTGTGCACAGGCCTCTCATGTCGGAGTAAATAGTGTTCCGTGCTGCTTCAGTGCGTGTTGGCGGACTTCACGTATCTTTGAAACATTTTATTCCTCATACATGCAGATTTACTCGCGACGTTTACCTTTGTCGAGACACGAGAACTTAAAATTATTATCAGCAATTTCCTTGGTGCCGACGGGGATCACACCCAGGCTTTCGGGCACTGTGCAACCTCGGTTACCACGGCGTTGTAGTAATCGCTATTAGAAGAACTTCAAGCTCGTTTGCACCTCTAATTGTATAAAAACTACCCTTTAACTAAAGAGAAGTACAGCCAACAGTTGTTTAATTTGGTAAAAATACATCGTCACATCACCAACCAGTATAAGTTAATGAAAATTGGCTTTTACAAGAATGCGCCATTTTGTACACATTTCATCATCTATAAGTTCCTCATATTCACCATTACTGTGCAGGTGAGTTGTTAAGCACAGGATGGACACCTGTCACAGGTAACGCTGCTGACTATTACCACAATCTGTGAAATTTGGGAGACAACGTAAAAATCAATTAATTATGTACGTGAATTGGGGAAAAGCTTGATATTACAATAAATAAAATTGCCGTAAGGTGGTGGCGTAAGTGAATACATCACCCTATTTCGTATCGTTACGTATTAAATACTATTATTTATTCTGTGGTATCGTGGGTATCGTTTGAAGCATAGGCATCCTTCTAACGGTACCCTCCGGTAACCTATCGGTAACGGTTCATCGATTTATTAGACGTTGTCACTGAGAATAGTTGAAAATGTGTCCACCGATAAGCAGTAAATAACAGTTCAAAAACTCTCCACAACAGCGCTCGAGTAGCTACAGGGGTGATTTTGAAAATAAAATTTTTGAAAGCAATAAAATAATTATTGCAAAAATAATTATCGAGAAAGTCTGTGCAATAAAAAAAATTATGAAAAGTTCTTCAAAATTTAGACTGTAGCTACAGTGGCGTCACCCTTATTTAGCGTTTCCCAAACTTTTTTATACAGAGTCTGTATCCTTAACACTTCATAGGTCGGACACTAATTTTTCGAACTGTCATGGCTACAATATGAATTATATTATAATCAAAAGTATTCAGTAAGAGCTCTTTTTATTTTTTTAAACTAAGAGCTATTTTTACTTATATTTTTTATTTTTTAAATTTTTACTGGCATTATTTTCAAAGTTAAAACGGGGAGCTGGACTTTCTTGGTATCTGCTTGTGATTACCGAGTTGTAAATCGGCACTTAAAATTACAACAGAAATTTTTAGAGGCAAGGCCAGAGATTATAATGTCGTAGTTGAGTTCTAAAAATGATTTTAACAACATTTAAAGCGAACGGGAAAGCGTGTCTAAGTTACCCATGTTTGGCATATTATTTGAGATTTCCAATAATATGCCTTATGTCTGCAGCTATTAGTACCCCACTTTAACTTACTTTAACAATTTCTTAGTTCTTCCAGAGTACGGCCCTGTAATATCAGGGTTCAGACCCCACTATCAAATTGGAGACAGAGTCCGAGTCAACTGCACGTCGGGTCGATCGCGACCAGCTATGCGGCTAGCGTGGTACTTAAATGGCGAGCCTGCCCCATTCAGCGCTACGATGACCCCTGTGGTCTTCAAAGATCATGATGGTTTTGAGACAACTAATGTAGGTCTCGACTTCAGAGTGACTGAGCAACATTTTCGTAACGGTGCGTTTAAAGTAAAGGTATGTTCATTTCTGCCACGCTTCGTGTTCTGTAATTACTAAACGTTATCAGAAAACTCGTTGCTTCTCTAATTAAATTAAAATGAAAGAAAACTGTCCTTTGAAATAAAACTACAGTCAATAAGATATTACATATTATTTTAGCGAATACTAATCAGAGTGGTTGAGACATGCTGCAGCAATATTTCGGTTGCATACAAAATGCACCGCAGGATCGGGGAAGGACCACGCTCTCACAAAATGCTAGCGCAAAAAACCTGCACAATGCTGCTATGTTTCGTATTGAAACAAGGCATTCCATCTTATTCTTCAGAGTTGACTACACATCTGCATTTCGATTCTTAATTGAGACGTAGATGTATATGGGCCACAGCGTCTACTTACCAATATACTGTGTGCTCATTTGTCATCCGTATTCTATAAAAATTGTATCAACAGCATTTTTCTTGGTCATTGATAGATATTGTATCTTTTCTAGTCAGTCTTTCTAGTGGTGAAATATATCATCCTATTTCGTCTGTGAATATCGTAAGAGTGTGGGAAACAAGAAAATCCCATTCTCGATAAGACTATTCGTAAAATACCCAAACGGACGATAGATTCAGATGACGATATGTATTGTTTTCGTAAAGTAAAAGATCGTAAAGGAGCATGATTTCACTTAATATGAAAAAAGTTAAATCCGTATAGTCCAGTATGGTCTGATTTCACTTTAAGAGCGACTCAGGAAAACTTTTCCTTTACATTATATTAACAACAAAAGGAAGGTTCTTGCTGGTTGCTGTGATCAGTATAGCTTATTACCTACTGTGTACTGTAGGCTTTATTTTATTTTTTACTGTATGCTAGCTTTATTGAGCTATAAAAACGTAAAATACTTTGATTGGTCTACAACCAGATGATTATTCTTAACCTTTCAGTGTTTAGCTACCTTGGCCTCCATATACTGGAGGAGCAACGAGGAAAGTGCACGTAAATCAAATACAAGAATAATATATGACGCGTTAGAAGTGATGCCATACAATGTAACAGATAGTGATTCCGCAAAATTATTACCGGGTAATTTTGCCCAAAAGTCATTTAATTTTTCGGCCATTTTAACTGTATCAAGTGTTCAATTCATCATTTATATATACTTGATGTAATGAATTATACTGTTAATGTGCAGACTAATTTTAATATGCATCGGAATTGACTGTGATAAGCATAGTAAAAATTAAGTAAGTGTTATGTAATAATTTGTTATAAACTGTACTTATTTGAAGCATACAATGCAATAAACCACCTACTACAAAATAATGTTTTTCATTTTATTTTAATTAATTAACATTAACATGGAAATGAAAATTGTGTAATGTAATTTTTCTGTTTCGATAATGAGGTTCCTCTGACTGAAGAAGAAACAGCGAAAGACACCCTAAAGGTATTCCCTTTTTGTCATTTTTATAAATTCAATTTTATAATCACGGACGTTAATTATCTTATATACAGAATGTAAACAATAACAAATCCATCGGTTATTGTAACATCTTATATGACGTACTCAAAAAGGGACCTTAAAAATATGGACAACTCGAGGAGTAACCCAACGACCCGTCACACGACACCGACGCAAGCAGAGACCTGACACCCCAGGGCCTGATTTGGACAGGGCCCACAGGCTAGCTGAAGCCTAGGGCGCAAGGTTCGAGGGAGGCGCTGAACTTGCATTTGCAAGCACAACTTATGTACGGAATAAAATTTGGTATAATATTCACAATAAACAATAGAGTAAGGGCCGCAAGTATTTTAGTTATTGCTCTTTCTTTATTTTTGGTACAAAACCAGTAAATAGATTGTAAAAATAAGACTGAATAATTTTGTACTATTGTGTTTTGTTGACTGACTGGATGTGATTTAAATATTTTAAGCTGATCAATCTCTTCTCTTCATCTTTAATTTTATTGGGGTGTTTTGCCAAGGCTGTCCAAAGGATCTTCTGTCAGCCTCCTTTATTTTTGGTATAAAACAAATAAATATATTGTTAAAATAAGACTCAATTATTTTGTACCTTTGGTCTTTCATTTCATGAGTGGTTAAGATTCAAAGATTTTAAACTGCTCAAGATCTCTTTTCTTCGTTTAATTTTATTAAAGTGTTTTGCCAAGAGAAATTCTTTCAGCCATTTGTTTCATATTTGCATAGGAAGAACGACTCACTGGCCCATGCCACAAAGGAGAAATTCGATCTTTTAGGTTCTCTTTCTGAGACCAACTCGACTCCCGATAATGGGGTGTACACACCGCCAACCATCATACGGTGGGAATGCTCCTTAGTGATTGTGTGGTTTACACAACGCTTAATATGCAAAGCACTCCTCCAAGCAAAAGCAAAATTCCGCTCAAGACAACAACTGCTCGGGCAAGCGAAGCAACAAGACCAAGGCGACCCCTGCCACGCTATCCATGAATTTCTGCAATATCAGGGGACTTCACTTTAACCTAAACGCCGCGACGTCCACTTCCTGCACTTTCTGACCGAGACGCAGGTGTCCTCTCCGGCTGATGTCTCGTATCTCTCCTACCAGGGGTACAAACTGGAACACTCCTTTATGCCTCGAGCTAGAGTTTGCGATTACGTCAGAGAGGATATCTGTTCTCGACGCCCCGGTAGTCTTGAAGGTTTGGATCTGTCCATCCTTTGGCTACGCGTAGACAGCGACGACTATAGGTCCCATAGTGGTAATGCCGAAACAGAGCGACTCTTCGTTTACGACCAAATGGCTACAGATTAGTTGCTACAGCAGATTCCCTCCACAGAGATCGTGACCCTCGGCGATTTTAACGCCCACCAAGCCGAATGGCTTGCTTAACCGATCATGGGGGAGATCTGTTCATGGTTTTGCCTTGGCATATGGTCTGACACAACTGGTTACTTCACCTACGCGGATTCCGCGGATGTGGAGGATCATGCACCTTCTCTGTTGGACCTTCTGCTGACCTCTAATCCGGACGGATATCAGATTTCCGTTGACGCCCTTTTAGGCACCCCGGACCATTGTCTTGTCCGAAGTGTGGTGCCACTCACGCTGAAATCGCAGTTGCATTCTGCAGCATGCACATCCTACCCCTGAGGTTTCTTAGTTTTTTTTAAAGTATTTTTCGCTGTCCAGGAAAATTTCTGTCAGCCATCTCTTCCAATTCTGCACAGAGGAACGACTCACTAGACCATACCGCAAAGGAGAAAGCCGATCTGCTATGCTCTTTCTTTGCGTCCAACTCGACTCTCGATGACGGGGACTCGATGGGGGGAGTACGCCGCCGACAATCTCGCGGTGTGAGTGTTCTACGCCGGAAGTGCAGTTCACACAGCGCTTGGTTCGCAAAGCACTCCTCTCCCTGGACATCCACAAGTCGAGTGGGCGTGATGGAATCCCCCCAATTGTGCTGAGGACGTGTGCTCCAGAGTTGGCCCCGGTTTTAACGCGTCTTTTCTGTTACTCCTACTCCCTTGGCGTAGTCCCAAAATCATGGAAGACGGCTTTCGTCCACCCGATCCCTAAAAAAGGCGACCGCCCAGACCCGTCCAACTGCCGTCCTATCGCCATAACCTCTTTGTTCTCCAAAATTAACTGTCAGCTCATGAGGTACCTTGAGGATCACCAGCTGATAAGTGATCGCCAATACGGTTTTCGTCGTGGTCGGTCAGCTGGTGATCTTCTGGTCTACCTGACTCATAGATGGGTGGAGGCAGTAGAGTCGGAGGGGGAGGCATTGACCGTTAGTTTGGACATTGCGAAGGTTTTCGATCGGGTTTGGCACAAAGCGCTTCTTTCGAAGCACCCTTCCCATAGGTTTCCCGAGAAATTGTGCAATTGGATCACCCGCTTTCTTGCAGCTGTAAACGGTCAGGTCGTTGTAAACGGTGCAAGCTCCGATTACTAGCCTATTAAAGCTGGCGTTCCACAAAGATTCGTGCAATCACCAACGCTGTTTCCTCTGCATATCTATGATATGTTGCAAACCGATAACATTCATTGCTATGCGGATTACAGCACCGATGATGCTCTGTACATCGACCATGACAATATTTCTCGGGAAAATATCTCCGAGTACCAGGACAAGCTTGTATCTGAAGTCGAGTCTTTGATGAACAAAGTGTCGGATTGGTGGCGACTACATCTAGTCCAGCTTAATCCTCAGAAGACACAAGCTTGCGCGTAAACCGCTAAAAAGAACCCCTTTGTCGTATCTCCTCAGTTTCGAGGCACTCCCATTGTTGCCTCAGCCAGTATCGGAATCCTCGGCGTCAACATATCAAGTGACGTGCAGTTTCGTGGACACTTGGAAGAGAAGGTCAAATTGGTCTCTAAAAAGTTAGGCGTGCTTAGCAGAGTGGGTTCAGGATTTCATGCCGGCACACCGCCTGCAACTTTACAATGCACAGGTTCGGCTGCACATGGAATACTGATCCAATCTCTGGGCTGGTGCTCTCCAGTGCCAGCCCCTTCCACTTGACTGTATCCAGTGCAAAGCGGCTCGAATCGTCGATGACCGAGTGCTTTTCGATCGGCTCGATTTACTGGTGCTTCGAAGAGATCTTGCATCTCTTTGCATTTTCTTTCGCATATACCATGGAGAGTGCTCTGAGGAATGTCAGGATTAATCCCAGCTGCCAAATTTCATGAAAGCACTACGCGGCAAACTGATCCACACCATCTGGATGCTTGGCGGTCCACCACTGTACGTTTCACAAGGAGTTTTCTTCCGCGTTCGACCTCTCTGTGGAATAGTTTACCACCGGTGATTTTTCCGGACCAATAGGACCTTCAAGAAAAGAGCTTACTCCTTTCTAAAGGGCCGGAAACGCACCTGCAATTCCCCTGGTGCTGCGATTATTCATGGGCGGCGGTAGTCACTACATCAGGTGAACCGTTTGCTCGTTTGCCCCCTCTTCTATAAAAAACAGCCTTATTTTTAGTCTTAGTATAGCACTACAATTTTTTTAAGTAAAAATAATGATTTTTATCATTTACAATAAAATTGAATGAATCCGTCTTCTTTATTATTAAACATTTAATATTCATTACAATTTTAATTTCAATATTTGCACTAGTATGTATGTAAGTACATGAAAAAATTAAAAAATGGTAAAATTTTAAAGCCTTACAAAAGCTGGACACTGTCTAATTTCGCCGCACGAGCAACCAAAAAGCCTGACTGTGACTGTGACCTGCAACGCTATTTGGGACTGCGTATTCTACGTCTAGCCTTAAGAGACTGATTTATATTTTCTTAATTAGTGGAGGTAAAGTTCAATTTTGATTTGGTTCAAATTATAGTATACTCTTTAGATTAGGTGACATCTTTTTTGTTTAATATATTGGAATAAATCATCTAATCAGTAAAACAAAGTATGCATCTTTTAAAGTGAAATTTACGTGTAAGTTCGCCACGTAATAGATTGCCTTCTTGTTTTCCACTTTGTAACTGTGGAAGCATCTTAAATGCATAACTCGTCGCAACAGCAACGCTTCACTAATACAACCAATATTGCATGTACAGGATGATTTTGCAATAACCGGCTAAATTTGCAGAGAAGGTTCATAATAAGTAATATAGTAAATGGTGATGAAAAATAAGTTAAAAAAATCTCAAACATTCTGTCCTTTTTATCTTTTAAATTAAAAATGCGTGGTAATGCGTTACTTTAACTTACTTTACTTCGCACGCCCGTTGTTGCCCATATATCAAATTCAATTTGGGATGATTTGAAATAAAAGTAAAAACTTAATTTACCTACATGTATTTATAAAAAAGTGTAATAACGGTAAATCATTATTTATATTTTTGAACTTAAGTTTAAAATAAAATGAGTTAGTTACAAACTTACTTAAGTTTAATTTAAAGTAAGAGTAGCTAAATCGCAACTATTTGAAAAATAACCGTGTAAGGTACATGAGGGTAATCTCGTCACCTTAAGCTTTGCCGCCCTATAAAACCAAAACTAATGGTCCCCACGCTCAGTTAAAATGATCAAACTGACGTACATCCAAAAACTTTCCGGGTGCACCGTAACCCGCTGTGTGACTTGTTTATTGTATAATTTTTGTACAATCTTATGCTGGGGCCACACTAACAAGAAATGCCGTTAATTATCGCGTTGATGGACGTTGAATGTAGGTGTGACCACGA